GCTGGCGCGGTAAATTGTTTTGCGACTAATTTAAGTTCAATCGGATGGCGCAGTAACTTCGCGTGTAACACGTCACTAAAAAAAAGGGGGGGAGAGAGAGAGAGAGAGAGAGAGAGAGAGAGAGAGAAAGACGTAGCGCTAATAGACAATCGAACTGTCCGGATTGGGGCCATCCTGGGAACATTTTTATTAGCGATGCCTTCGATCCCGTGACGTCGACCCGCGGCGCAGCTCTCCGCGGGATATCAAATTTCGTAACAACCCGGCCAGAGCGGTAGTCGAGTTATTTCAGGTGGGCGAAAAACGCTCGAAAACACACACGTGTCATCATGTAGTGTTATTTTTGCCCGATCGTAACCGTAATTGGATTTGGTGCGCAAATTGGTAGCGGACCGAATCTCTCAAATTCCAGGAAAATCGCGAACCATTGGCAAACCGAGATGTTTCATTCATAAAGAAAGCTCGGCGACGAGTCGTCGCTCGATTTGAATTATAATCTGCGTGCTCCGAAAATAGATTTCTCTTTCTTTTTTTATCCAAATTCATTCGTCGTAAATTACAAGAAAATTACACGGAGATGATAAAAAGCAACGAGAGAGCGGGGGAGATACGAGCTGCGTCCACGGCCGTATCTCGCCGTGGGTATCTCGCGTTTTCGATCGACGCCTATATGGGAAAGAGAAGCTAGGAAGTCACAGCCGAAAGAAACGGTACTCCGAGGATCACCGCGGATGAACGTTCCATCCCATAAGCTTGTCCTCCATCGGAACGTATAGTGTCTCGTGGCTTGGTGCACGGACTGCGCACCGCTGCTGCATCGTATGTCGCGCCTCTCTACCCCTCTCCCTCCCCGGTTCTCCCGGATACGTGCAGCCCGAAGATGCGCCGCGGGATCACCGACTGACAGCTCCCTAATGGAACCCGTAAATACCGCACGGGGGGCACGTTATGTTTTTCAAATGAAATCCCGAAAATTTACTTCGAAAACTCTATAGCGTTGCGTCGCCGCTACCGCCATCGCCGTTCATCGTCGTTTATCTCCGAGGCGACATATTTCGTTCCACTGATAATAACACTAAATCGTATGACGATTGTTATTGGTCGTTTCGGTTATATTGAAACATGAATCGAGAGCATTTGCAATGACGTTGCGCCGTTATGCGATTTGACGGGCATGGTAATCTGATCTGAAGCGACAAAAAATCATCGAGGGACAGATAATTAGGCGAGCTCCGTATTGATTGATTCAATTTCCAACTCGATGGAACGTCCACTTTAATTACACGAACGAACAATACGTCGGCGATTAATATTCATATTGCGATATTGTAATATCGCGATACGTAATACCGTAATACGCTAATATCCCGGATGTAATAATAGTCCGCTTAGCGTTATTTATGCGCGATTAATTACTGCGGTGTAAACGTGAAAAAGGAGACCGTCACGCGTTATCGAAGATTCGATAGGATTCACGAGTGACGAAGATGTACGACGACGACATATTAAATAAATCTATAATAAAACATTTCGCGTTGCGAGACAAAAGGGCGAGACGCCTTTCACAACACCTCATGCAGACGCGTATTTAGTTACATTATTACCGCGCATGTATACTCGTCGACGATTACCGGTGACGAGATGCGGGCGCGTATACGTAATCGATATCGAAGCCAGATAAAAAGTGATATTACGGTCGCCGCGATTATGATACCCGCATCGCAGATCGAATCGGTCGGCGCGGCGCGGCAGCGGCGGACGGGCGCGCTGCTCGTCCGCGCTCCGACTGCGACTCCGGGCCAGATATAGGATGCAGATTGCAAATACGATTAAGCGTTATTGCGTTTTCTACTTTTCTCGGAATTACATTCTTTCAAATTTTATTACCCGCCGATATCGATTGGCCGTGGGCACACCGCCGTCCTCTTGGCATGCGCACACGGGCACGTGAGTTAACACGTATGCGAGCTGACCGACCGGCCGAATGAACGACGTTACAATCGTCGCGCGCCAAAGCGTATCATGTTAATTTGCAAAAATTGACGCTTTGTGAAAGAGCTCGAGAAGTCAAACGGCCGAGAAGCTGGCGGACTAAAATGGTTTTGATCGCCCGCCAAACGAATTTCTGAACGAATCCGTAACGACTAAAAAGTCATCACCCGACAACTGTCGCATTACAAGGATTGATCTTCCTTTTTTTTATTTTATCATTTTATGTGTGTGCGAGTGTAAATAATTTTTCGTTCGAAAAAAAAAACAGATTTTCGAATCGAGTTTCTTTCTCGTCCATCCCCTCCGTTGTTTCGCAACCAATGGTACAGGCGATAGGAGCGCTTGTAGATTCGCGCCCGTTCGTGCCAGGGCAAAGTGGCTATTTTCCGGCCAGTGCTCACCGATTAAGAATCCGATCCCGGCCAAGGAGCAAGGGATAATCCAAACGCGAGAATCACGAATGAGCTTCTTCCCCGAGTTTAAGCATTAGGCGGTACAAAAAATAAAACCAACGGTGACGGCAGGCATTCTGATGCCCGTGCGTTTGGATTCCATTTCCGATTGCCATTCGCGTGCGACGCATAAATCATTACGAAGCTAACGAGACAGTTCTATCGTCTTCTTATATAATTTCCGTAAAATCCTTCTCTCGTGAAATCTCATTCTTACCGGCCAAGTCAACAAGCAGAATCGAATTATTTTGCGAAAAATAAAATACGGGGGTAAAGGGACGGTGAGAGAGACGAGTGAACTAGCGAACGGCCGACGAAGGGAAAGGGGAATGGCGGCCGTGAAGTAAATAGGAGTCGTGGTCGTTCTGCCGTAAAATTGTATGTGAAATTGTGCGATGTGTCTTGCGAATTGAATCGCCGGAAACGACATTGATTTTATTGCTTGTTTCCAGCGCTGTATACTTCATCCTACCCTCTTCTCCATCTTCCAACCGCCGACCTCCCCCCCTCCTCGTCCTCTACTCAGAACCGCGACACGTTTGGCATCTCGGCAACCCTTACTTCGTTGCCTTCGCGCGAAAGATACCGATGTATCGTTCAATCGGTATCGGTATCTATAAAAAGCAATTTCATTCGAAAAAGAAATCGCAAAATTATTTGGTTTAGATTCTAAAAAAATCAATCTATCTAAAAATCGATCCTGTAATCTTCGCGTGCAAATGTATTAACACAAAAAAATTGTCGGAGAAAAGACAACAAACTGAACGATAAAAACGGTAAAAACTGCGTCGCTATATAATTTTTTCCAATTGCGAAAAACTGCTACTCGCTCAGAAGCGAATGCGCGGGCCATAATTTTCCTTCAATGATTTACCACGGGCTAATTGCAGAATGCAGCGAGCGGTAATATCGCTTTGCAGGGTTACGTCCGGGGGAGGGTAGCTATACTTTAGTTTGCAATTTAAACTTTACTTCCTCCGGAATTGATTAGCTTTTAGTAATTAAGCAAGCAACGCCTTGGACCCCCGCCCCCCTCACGCCCGTTCCCTGCGCCGCGTTCACCTCTCGCTCCATCCTCTCTCTTCGTCTCTTTCTCCTCCTCCTCCACCACCTCCACACCTCCATCTCGTTCCCTTCACCCTTCCCGCAGCTATTTCCCTTTTCTCGTTCGAGTTCGGTCATACTATTCCATTTCGGCGAACGCGCCTGCGCCGATTCACACGCGCGTGCACGTACATACGAATACACTCGTGCACGCACACGCATCCGTTGATTCTTCCGTCCTATACGTCCCCCCTCCTCCCCCCGCGATCCGCGCGAGCTTCCCTCTCGACGTACCCTCTCTTCCTAAGTGCCTTGTTTCGCCACTGATTCCTCATCCGGTCGGCTGTGCGCCCGTTTTCGATCTTATTGAGAGCTATCGAGAATCACCTTGCGATCGATCCCACGTTCCGTTTATTTCCATTTGCCTTATTCGTATGTAATAAAATTAATTAAATAGGGCAAATAGTATGTAATAAAGTACGTAACATTAATCGAAACACTTATTGTCAATCGTATTTTTTAAATATCACATTACATCAACATTTAAACCTAAAAATCTGTATCTTAATTTTACATCTTAAAACCTACACTCTTAGAAAATAGCTCTTCATAATCTCTTAAAGTTCTTAAAAAAATATAGTTTTAGGGATAAGATAATAGAAATGAGCGATAAATCTTGTTTCAAAAGCGAGTGTCGCACGAGGAATAACTCGTCTATTAAGTGCGCCAGTGCGCATGGCTTTATACGGCGCTCTACTGAGAACCACTGCCGACGCGATTTGAATTTCAATTTGTCGCCAAAAATTTCACGAGTACGCAGTAGACTTTTATCAGGATGTAGAAGCGTTTCGATATAATTTTCATGACGGGCAACACAGGAAGCCCGCCACGCTATCGATCGAACGTCGAAAATGTAATTCGATGCCAACGCATCTTGCTGCGCGCGATAGATTAATGCTATGCAAATTGTGCGGAGTGTCTCGATTTTCGGGAGCATGCAGCGAATCAACGAATTACATTCTGTCAGCGACAATAAGCGCGAATTGACATAATTCGATCTTTACGACGTGGCGCCGCGCCGCGCTATCAGAATCTTTTCAAGGTTTAAAGATAATTGGGACGTTGAATGTTTATTGAAAACGCGCGAAACGGGAATTGGATTAAGCACGCCGTTTTAAATTGGATCTCGCGCGCGGTCGTCGCGTTTTCAAATCGTGGCACCTGCCACGCGAGGACGAAAACAAACAACAGGAACACCTTGCTAAAGCAGATTCGTTCTAATGAATCTGTACGTTAATAGGATCATTCCAACGAAAGTTCCTTCTCCGCGTCTGGACTCCAGACTCTGGAGCAGTCGTGATTCATCGCGATCTTTCGCTCGCCTGAATAATCGTCACAACTAAAGTTTCGTCATTCGTTTATCGCTCTCTCATTATACTCGCCGCTTTCGTCGCGTTAATTACTTTTGATCTCGGAGTACAAACTCTTCCTGTATGTTTTCAATTTACTCACCAATGGGAGGGCGAGAAGGCCGCCGGCCGATGATCCGCGCGGAGAAATCCTCGCGACGGGTAGTCGTCCACTCGGAGCGATGCGACGTCGCAGTTCGGAGCACTCATGGGGCACGGGCCCGTCGTCGGCGTTTTCCTTGTTGTCTTTGTCGTTGGGGCTCGTTGTAAGGAAGATGAGAGAGAGACGGAGAGAGAAAGAGGTACGAGACTCGTGAGAATAAGAGAGACGGAGAGTAACGTTTCACACAAGAACAAGATTCCCGATATCCGGAATCTCTCACAACTCGGTGGGCTCGATGTGTCACGAGCGATCGATCCGTTGCACGCGTGCCGCCGAGACTCTCGATGCCGCTCGTCCTCGCGCGCGCGAACACTCTTCTTCACGGGGATGCCAGATTACTTCCTTAGCGTACGCGCGCGGGCGCGCGCGTGTGTCGATCGCAGATCGCCCCCCGTGTCGTTCACCGTTGCGTCAAGTCGTGCACTGAGAAGCGGAAGCGGTACCCCTCGCCGCGGCCGTTTCAGCGTAGCTGCGCGCAACCGCGCTGGCCGATCGGCGGCGACTCACACTCGTTCCGCTCGTCGTCTATCCGTCCGTTTGTGTTTGTCGTCGTTCGTTCGTTCGTTCGTCGGTCCGCCCGCACGTCCGTACGCGACGGCACTCAGACGCGAAGTGACGAGGCGGCGCGGCGGAGCACCGCCACCGCGACGCGAAACTCGCCGGGAGCACCCGAAGCCCCCGAAGCGGCGCGGCGCGATCGCGCGCGCGCTAGCCTCCTCTCGTGTTTACCTATCTCTCTCTCTCTCCCTTTCTCTCCCCCTTCCCTCGTTCGCTCTCTCTCTCGCTCCCACGTGCCTCCACACGCAGGATACACAGGATATACGCGGCTGCTGTGCCTTCCCCTTGCGTCATAGCGGAGATCACGTCACGCGGCGGGGCGCGCGCGGCTGCGGGCCCGTCCACGCGTAGCGGAATCCGATCCCGCCGCTCCTTGGGCCTGTCCCCCCGTTCCCCATTCCCCGTTCCTTGCGCGCATCGATCGCTGATGGTCTTTATCGCGGATTTACGCGCGATCCCCGTGTTATGTTGATGACTAGCAATGATCTGACAGAGGTCCATAATTTACGATGGAATCTCGCAAATTGCGAGAGAAAAGTCGTAATCTTGGTAAATAATCCAAAGAACATTAATTAAAAATGGAATGTTTTGTTATCGCGTTGGGAAGATTGACTGGGAAATTGAGTGAACACACGAGAGAACTTATACATATTAAGCGTTATACATATTACGGAAAGTTTACCGCCGAAAAAGTTAACGATGCCGAAAAACACGGCATGGAACGAAATGCTCGTTCCGCTAACTATTACGCCGCATATATTTACGCTGCATATTGCTGCCGGAAGCGGTATCGAACAACAAACATCGCGTCGGTGTAAACGCTCAATTAATATCAAGTAACGAATATCGGTTAAACAGTGATTTTGGCGTCGATCGGGTTTTATATGGCGCAGCGCGTGGAAAGTTTAACAAAATAGCGTTAATAATCTCGCGCGTATACGCGCGCCGCGGGAGAAAGAAAGAGACGGAAAGAGAGCGAGAGGGAGAGGGAATATAATCGTCGCTTTTATCGGCCTCTGCACCCGGTAACGAGTGCCCGAAAATTCCTCGGTCGGTCCACGCGCACTGACGTCGCCCACGCGATAATAATTACTGCTAATGTAAATGTTCGTTAATGGACGTCATTAAATGCAACGCCGGCGGAATGGCCGCGGGGCGCCCGTGTAAGTCTATACACACGCTCGCGGGGCTTTGCCAATTATATTAATTAAATAAACATTATAATCAGCTAATTAAATCTAGCGCGCTCAACCCTGTGCCTCCCTCGTGCCCCATACCCCCGCCCGCGCCGCTCCCGCGCGTACCTCGTCCGCGCCCGCACCGTGAAGATACACAATATCATGAAATCCAATCGTGTCGAGCAAGATTTACTATCGGGAGTCGCTCGCGCGGTTCGTCGCGGCGCGCGGCGTTTCAACGAGCGCGGCAGACGCGATCCGACGCATAATTATTCGCTGATAAACGTTTAATGAAGCTGGGGGGGAAGAGGGTTTTTACTGCGAACCGCGACGAGTATATATACGCCCGGCAGAAAAGTATCCTCGGGAAAGTTATGGGGTTCGTTTCCCGATTAGATATCTTTCCGCGAATCCCAGCTTAACCCACGGTCGGTCCGTGAAAATTTTTATTCGGCCGATTTCGATTGCCATCGGCGAACGCGACGATTCTTAAGATACGCGCGCCCACGTACACATGCGCGAATACGTTCGACGTCGACACGCGCACCCACACGGAGCTCTCGGTGCCGGCCGGTTACGCCGGCCCTCGAAAAGCGGTTCGTGTCATTAGTATGTTAATTGGTAACAGCCTGGCTCGCCTCCCCCGCCCCCGACTCCCGCCCCTTGTCATGCTATGCCGCCAGTCGACCCGGCTGCCTGCCACGTCGCGTTGCGAATGCATATACGTCGTCCGGGGCCCACCGAGTTTGTACGTTAAGATGTTTAATCACTTCTGTAATTAAACTGTCCCTCAAAGGGTTAATTGTCCCATAAACCCATGAATACGTTAACGAGCGCGCTACGCACCTCGCGAGCATCGCCAGTGGCCAAGGAGTCGCGACGGCAACGGGAAAGCAAGACGCATAAAAATGCCACGAAAAGGAAATGCAGACGTAGGGATCGTTAGTCGGTAGAAAAATTCCAAAACTAAATGTATAATTTGAAAATATCCCGTTTTTTAAAATGAAATTTGATCCCGTAAAAATTACATTTTCTTTAAATAAATTTTTTTGTTTTTAATGATTTGCTATCGATAATAAATAAAATACAATTCTTTCGACACATTCTTTTATCCTAGCTTTATTACGCGGTTATATTGTGAATTTTATATTAAATATAGAATTGCACGATTTTTATTAAATATACGCGAGTTGCGCGATATTCAAAATAAAGTTTCATACGGATGAAAAGGCTATGACAAATTGGGATAAAATTGGTATTATAAAAAACAATATATAATTATTACATAATAATCAATATGTTGTTGTAAGAATATTAAATTGGCTCTCAAGATCCAAGAAGTAATTCATTAAACCGTGTTGCGTCTCAAAATTGATTTCGATCGAGTTCTTCGGCAGAAACGCGATTGCAATGCGGGCACAAGAGAACGCTAAATAACCGGGGTCCTCGCCAGCTCGAAAAGTAAGCGGCGAAGAGTGTTAATTTTCGAAATGAAAACGAGACATCCATCTTTAGCGAAATGCTTGGCGCTCAACGCTTCAGCGCCTGGCCCATTCCCTCTCGCTCAATGCATTAGAGTAATGAATTAATTTCCATTGGAGTTTCACCTCTGTCCTCCCCTTTACCCCGTCGCCTCTGTCACGCGCAACCCATCCGCGGCTGTCCGGGTCGACCCTCACTACCCGGCGTCCGTCTCCCAGCGTTATATTCCGGATTTAAAATCTATTTTCCTAATTGTGATCGTGCTGTGGTTTGCTCGACTTTCCTTCTTGATTTCCATTCGCGTCTTCGCGAACACGCGCGTCAGTTTTAACATCGTTGAACGACGGTTTCCGGCATAACGTCGAGATTTTAAGAATATCGAGCAGTTTCGATCTCTCCGAATAATCACGTTCCCTCATAAAAAAAAAGAGACGTATTTTCTCGCACATTTATCGTTCGTATCTCGCGTATCTCCTCGCGGAAATAATTCACGAGATAACATTAGTAATCGCGACATTTGGCGAGCACACGTTGAGTTTCCGCGAAAAAAAAAATGCCTGCATGAAGAATGGCGCGGAGTCCCACCCACCTTCTTCGCGTCTTTACTCTGCGAGGTCGTAAGGGCAAGCGAGCGAGCGAGCGAACGAGCGGCGTGACTGGTGGGTGAGCCAGGCGGTCCGGCGAGGGGAGAGGCTGCGGGGGACGGGAGGCACCGAGCAAAGGGGGAACCAAGACTCCGGTCAATTAAGCGCAGGAAATTAGAGTTTTAATTACGCAGTCATTCAGAAAATTACATCGGGGGCCGTGAAGAAGGCATCCGCAATCGGCCAACGAGCGGCGGCGGTGATGGTGGCGATAGGCGGTTTTCTCTGTTCCTAGACGATGATTTTTCGAAACGTCACGCGCTGAATATAGACGTTTTGGTAACCGTTTTCCATCTTCACGGGAAAGTCCTAACGAGATCGAACGAGTTTTGGAGGACGCGATTAAAAACGCCGATCCAATTAATAGATGTTACTCGATAACCGAGCAAGGACTCTAGTTGAATCGTGAAACGGAATACGACGTGCGTTCGCTTTAATTGCACTTCCTGCGATGACCCAAAAGGGAGAAGTTCGCTAATCTTCTGCCTCTCTTCTCCGCTTCTTTCCAAAGCTCAAATATACAGCCGTTTTGTTTCTGACGGAACAGATACGACCGAAAAACGGGACCCACGATAGAATATGGAATATAGTATACAGTATACAGTGACGTATCCACGACGCACCACTAGCGTTAAATGCGGCTATTTGATTCCCGAGCTATGATAACGTTGGGCGCAATATTCATATCAGATGAATGAGATGCGGTATTCAGACGCGCAGCAATTAGCGCAAAATGCACGGCTAAATAGCGACGTGGACGCGGACCCAAGGCGCGTTGATTGAATAGCATTAAATTAGCTCGGTTTTGTTTTAATTCGTTTCGTGTTCGGGTCCGACGATGAATATCGAGAGTTTCGGCGATGAAATCAAATATTCTCTCCCGTCGGTTAAATTTCCTTGCCCGTCCGCGCGCGCGAATCCGAGCCCGCACAGCCTACGGCCGACGCGGACCGCGGACGGTCAGTCGATACGTGCATTCGTGTCGATTGTTTGTCCGCTCGGCCGGGATTATATTTTAATCAGTTTACCGATTTGCGGCCGGGACAGGATGCCTTTCCGTTAAATGCCTCCGCCCGAGCGAACTTAATCAAAAACGCCGCTAAACCCGGCAGAAAGAGGGAGAAAACTCGATTTGGCGCGACGAATTTTATTCGCGATGGTTTTCCGCCGAGCGGATGAGGATTCAGCGTCTCGACATCCTACGTGCTTGTCGATTTTTTACGATTCGACTTCCATATCGTCCAGGCAACGCAAGCTGCTCGATAATGCTCGATAATTAGTTTAAAGACGTTTGATGTGTGTCAAAGACATTTCGACCTTTTATCGTTTCAAAAATATGTCGCACTGCGAGTAGATTGATCGCGACACGACCGAAACAATGTCCCACCATTCCCGGCATTAACAGCTTCGAATTAGGTCTCGATTTGGCCGGCGTCGAATCCCAAGTATGCAAATAATTAACGAACTTTAATTCGAGGCCGGGCTGCGTCTATTCGTACCGCGTCTACCGAAGCGGGAGCTGCGCGAAATTTTCCGCCGGGCGCAAACGCGCGCTCACCCTCGTCCGTTATTCTCCTTAATCCCCCGCGATTTCGAGAAAACGTGCAGCTAGCCCGAGCGGTGGTGCTCGAGCGCTTCTCGCGCGGCGTGCACCGACTTTTTGGATAATTACAACCGTCTCCGTCGGTCTGAGGCAATTATAATTGCCGACTCCTTTCGCAATTATAAGTTTCTGGG